CAAAAAAAAATTACTGGGCCAGATCCTCAGCTGGTGCACATTAGTGTCACTCCACTGAATAGGTATCTGGCCCATTGGCCAGAGGGAGGCATTGTATGACGGGGCAGCTGGGCCAGATTTGAGTGGCATTGGACCTCATGCACCAGGTCACAATGCCACCCAAATTTAGGTAAGCTGGCCCTGCCCCTTAGCCGAAAATCCTGGTTGCACCTCTGGCTCAAACACTGGGGGCGGGGCCTGCTTTCCAGGGTGCTGGTCCTAGTCAATGGTCTCGTAGTCCCCTTGGGCCTTAACCTCGATGAATGATGGTGGGCAGCAGACCCTATGGGCCCGCATAACCCAGTGCTTTTGAGCAGCAGGGGAGGCGTGGACAGATGGCCCACCCTGCCCTACCTTAGTGACGCCCCTGAGACCTGCTCCTACGCCCCCCTTTGATGCGCCCCCCCTGGCCCGCCAGGGAGCTCAGCAGCGCCTGGCTCGCATTACCACCGGCGCGCTGTTTATTTTCTTTTCTCCGTTCTCTTTCGCTCCTTCTGCCGCCCGCTCGCTTTGAGTTTGTTTTCGTGCATTGCAAGGATGGTTGCGGCCGGCGCTGCTCCTCGCCCTGGTATGTCTGTGGCACGGGGAGCAAAGGCAACCAGGCAAGGCGCTGCATTCATCCGGCTCCGCGGCAGCGCCTGGCTCCGAGCGGAATGCGCTGCTTTCCACGCGCAGCCCTGGAATGCAGCAGCACCTCTCATTTTATGAATGACTCCATTCATGCGGCCCCTCCCACCGCCGCAGGCCCCTCCCCTTCCCCCTGGAAGGGCGCCACCCTTGCTATTGGCCGGCCAAGGCTGGTGGGCGGGGCGCTGGTGGTGGCCATATAAATGGGAAGCCGAAAAGGGCTGGTACAGACGCCACCGGGGTGGTTAGATGATGCATGTGCTAATTGTGTAGGCTGGAGGTTGCTGAGCGGCGGTAGTGCTAAGACTGGCTGGTTGCTCGGATCAGCTGTGACTCAGTTCCCCCGAGCCCCTCTGGGCAGTTCTTTCCTCGGGCCCGTTTAAGTCTGCGATGAAACAAGCGTCTCTGCTCAGCTTTGTTTTCCTGCTGCGCGTTGCTCTGGTGAGTGGGGAATCTTCCGGCTTCGGGATCCCAACTTCCCCCTTGGGGATGGACGGGCAGATCCTCAGCTGGTGTAAATCAGTCGCTCCTATTGACTCGCCGGAGCGAGACTGATTTACACCGGCTGAGGGACTCGTTTTGGGGGCTCTAAAGTCTGCGCCCCTGTCTAGGGAGTCCGTTCCCATATGGGGCTATTCCCAGCTAAGGAACTGGGTCCTATTGAGAACTGGCCCGGCCTTTCAGAGCCTGTTCGCGTTGACTTCACGTGGTGCTGGGTGTTCTGCAAACCTGGCTACTGACTTTTTTTTCATTAGGTGCCTAACTTTGGGCTCCTGAATTTGAAGATTTTTCTCCTAGATGCTCAGTGGGCGTGACACTGGTTTAGGCTAGCTGAAGATCCGGCCTTCTGAGCTCACTTGCTCTGGTATAAACCTGGAGTCACTGCCTGTGCTGCTGCTCTGGATTTAAATTAGTGTAAACAAGATCAGGAGTAAGAGTACTATAACAGTCTCTAAGGTGCCACAAGTACTCCTGTTCTTTTTGCGGATACAGACTAACACGGCTGCTGTTCTGAAAAAAGATCAGGAGTAACTCCAGTGGGTCTTGTGCTAGCCTGAGAGCAGAATTTGATCCTGAGATTTTTTTTTCTTTTCTTTTATTACTTCCCTAAATCCCTATCTGTTCTCTGCCCTGCCTGTCTCCATGGTGGTGACTTTGATCCTGGCTGGATTTTTATTGTTGTGGTTTAACGTGGGGGTGGGGGGAATGCAGATCCTTTGAGAAATGCAGCTGCACCTAGGAAACTATTTTAGTGCCACCTCCTATAAAAAGGGGACTGGCTCATCCATCCCAAAATAGTCCCTTCGTTGAAGTGCTTGCCCAGTGTGTCTACTCATGGGGGTGGGGGGAAATGTTTGGACTCGGCAGGGCTTGTCTATTTAAAACCTGCAAAACACTTTTGTAGGACCTACAGAAATGTTATTCTGTCCCTTCCCCCCACCAACATGGTGTCTATTCACAACCAGCTGTGACTCATTTTTTCTAGGTCCTGACAAAACATTATCCCTCATCCATGGGGTTTCTTTGCCTGTAGGTGGTATGTCGTTGCCCTCTGCAGTGTGTTTGCCCCCCCAGCCCACCCCATTGTGCTCCCGGGGTCAGCATGGTGCCTGATGGCTGTGGGTGCTGCAAAGTCTGTGCCAGGCAGCTGAACGACGACTGCAGCAAGCACTGGCCATGTGACCCCCACAGGGGGCTGGAATGCAACTTTGGGGCAGACCCCTTGGCCAGCAAGGGCATCTGTCGGGGTAAGCAGGTTGCTGGGACCGGCACCGGGGGGCATGTCCTTGTTTACTTTCTGTTTGCATCTCTGGGGGGGGGGGGTTCAGATCATCAGGGAAGACTGGGGGGGGGGCAATATAAACTCTGCTTGTGACAATCCTCCCACCCCAAAAGAGTGAGATGAACCCCCACATACAGACCCTGCTGGCAACACCCCCACCCCGGTTCTTGAGCCAAATAAGAGGATCTTTTTGGGGGGCAAAGAATGTAGGGGACCATGAACTCCTCCCTTCTCTTCCCCCCCCCCACGCCCCACAAAGTCCAACAGATCTAGCTCCTGCCCCAGTCTAGGAAAGGTGTTGGTCAGGTACCAACTTGGGGGGAGTGGGAGGTGTCCACCTGACTGAACTGGTGGAATTCCCATCTCTGAGGCAATGACAGGGCCTGGAGTGTCTCCTGGAACCTCTCTGTCCAAGAGTGAAGTGGTGTTACTGTAGGTTCTTCAATAACCATGTCAAGCTGATGCCCCGCACAGGGCAGGTGGCATCTATATACAGAGAGCTGGTGGAAGGAATGTGCTGCCTCCTGCCCCCCCTTAAGGGAGCTCTGGGGACAGCCAGCTTGGGGCAATCCAGGGCTAAACAGGGAAACCGTCCCTCCCCCAGTGGGATCTAATGTGCGCTGTCTCTTGGGGGGAGGCGCTCTAGGTGCGGGGGGGGGGGGGACTGGTCAGGGTGGGAGCGCAGGGGCATGGCAGGGCTGGATGAGGTGTGTTGGTGGGAGTGGGGAGGGGAGAGGAGCCCAGGACAGTGAAGGGGACGTGTGTCACTGATGCTCCACCAGCCCCAGTGATTGACTGACACTTTCTCCCCCTGCTTGGAATAGAGCCTGGAAGTCATGTTAGTACCAGCCCTGTGGGGCAGTGGGATGGGTTAGTGTCAGCCCCACAAGAGTTCACGATGGGTGTAAATGGGGGGCAGGGTCCCCCTTTGAGTTCTGACTGGCCGAGAAGGCAATCGGGCTCAGTGTGTTTTGAAAACCCATCTCCAAAATGCTGATGCCTTCCAGGGTGCCTCCCCCCCCCACCACACACACACACACACCCCTGCCACGCTGGATCTGACTGCCCTGGGGAGAAGGCGGCAGATCGGACTGTCTCCCTTGACCACGTGTGTGTCATTAATACCGGGCGGGTGGGAGGGAATGGACGTCTGGCTTAGGAGTGGGGACAGGTCATATGGGAAACTGACAATACACATGTGCTTCTCAGGGATTCAGCCCCCATGTAAATTTTCAGGGGTAGCACAGCACAGAGCCCAGAAAGAGGAGTGCATTCAGCAGCCCATTAAAACATGGGGAGACCGCAGAGCCACGGGGGGGGGTGGCTGGGTCGGGGTGGGAAAGCATCGCTAATCTGTGCCCCCTGCCCCCAGTGTGGATCAGCTCATGCCCAGTCCAGGGGTGGGGGGCAGCGGGAAGCTGGAGCCTGTGAGCTCAGGGCTCAGGAATGTGTCCAGGAGAGTGAAAAGTTGGGCCAGGGAGCCAGAGCCAGCCACATTCCTGCAGGGATTCTACACTTGCCCCTCCATCCTTGGAAATCTGCCCCCCCCACACCCTTTCTCTCAGGGGTGGGGGGAGAGGTATTTTCCCCCTGGTTCCGGCAGGCGAGGGAGCCTGGATCCAGCATGAGAGTTTGTGTTCGGTTTTTTTCGCTGCTGTTGCAACACGATCCATTCCTGGCCCTTGTGATCCCGACCCACATCCTGTTTTCTGGAGCTATTTAAAGCTGGGGCTCCTCTCTAAAAACTCTCGCTGCTGGGCCCTTAGGAGGAGCAGCGGCCTCAGTCCCCGCTCCAACACTTGGGGCTGGCCTAATGGTGCCGTCTAAGGATGAAGGACCTGGATCCCACCTCCCCGCACACCCTCTGAGATCCATTCAGGGCCTTCATCTCCCGAGCTCACTCAGCATCAGCAGCGCCCATTGGCCTCGTCAGGGCCTGGGATGCTCTGGCCATGGGCTGTGAATTACCTTAGAGGTGAGGTTCCTTCCTCATTTGGGGGGCACCCTAGTCACCACCCTCAAAGGACCCCAGCCACAGGAGGGGGCTCCAGCCATGGACCTCTGATGGGAATAGTCCAAGTCTGAGACATACTGTGTCCCCACCCCCTTAAGGGGCTTGAACCCCAAGACCTCTCTATTCCCCAGTGCAGGATGCCCCTCCCCCTCAAGTCTCCTCTGATCACATCTGATACCTGCACAATAATCCCCAGCTGGGCGTAGGTCTGTGCCGGAGGAAAGGGGGTGGATGCCCGAGCACCATGCCATAGCTGTGCCAGGGTGCTGTTGACCCCCGTTCTGCGTGGTGCAACTGATTCTGCAAGTGTCTGGCCACTGCTGTGGTTCTGTCCCTCTCCCATAATGCAATGCTTCTGAGCAGCAAAGTACCCAGAGGACCCTTGCTGTTCTGGAGCCATAATGCCAAGCCAACATGTGGCTGTGGGGGGGCAGGGGGGAGGTTAGGCGTCAGGCAGACTAGCAGTGCGTTCCTAGAACATTGGGTATCTTGATGTGAGGGGGGGGGGGATCTGCTAGGGAGCAGTGGTCCCTCTTGGGCAGCTAACTAACAAGACCCTCGGGGGCCCTGCTGTGTCCCCAGCCAAACAGGAAGGCCGGACGTGCGAATACAACGGGCGGATCTACCAGAACGGTGAGAACTTCCAGCCCAGCTGCAAGCACCAGTGCAGCTGCATCGATGGTGCCGTGGGCTGCCTGCCCCTCTGCCCCCTGGAGCTGCCCCTGGCCTCCCTCAGCTGCCCTGACTCACAGCTGCTCAAGGTGCCTGGCCAGTGCTGCAAGAAGTTTGTGTGCGGCAAGGGGGCCAAGAGGTTTGGGGAGGTCTCCTTTGAGGGCGGGGAGACCAAAAGCAACGAGCTCATCTATGTGGGCAAGGACCGGCACTGGAAGAACATGCCGGGTGAGTGCACCAGATAAAGGGCTAGGGAGGGGATGCTCACCTACCTAGGAGCCCAGGATGAGATGCCAGGGCTGGGCAAGAAGTGGTGGGTGCAGTGGGATAACGCCTGATTTGCAGGGTGCTGTCACCAGCTAGCACCGAGCTCAAGTCTGATGTACCCGCCCTGGTGGGGAGGCTGGGAATAGTGCTTCCCTCCCACCTCCCCAGGCTAATGCTCCAACTCCTCCTGTCATTTAGCCTGATTGTCTGTTCTGGGAGAATCTCCCCTCCCTCCCACCCTACTCTCCCACCTGCAGGGAACTTCCTCAATTGGCAAAAGGGCTCTGCTCTCACAGTAGGGAACAGATCAGGGCACAGCCAGAGCATGTTGTGCTGTGGTTATACTCTGCTCCCCAAGGACCATAGAGTGTAAATTAGAGCGACCTCTAGGCTGCTCTAACTACACATCTGTGGCTGGACTGGAAACTATCTTTGCCGCCAGTCCTCCCTGTATTGCATGGGTTGGGCACACATGTCCGTGCCCATTTAAGTTAGACTGGGACCCTGCTGACTGCAGTGGGAACATAAGGCTGGAGGCTAGTCCCTGCCCCAAAGAGTTGGCAATCCACATTGGGTGTTTCTGAGTGCCCAGGAATGGCAGATGCTGAGATCATTGGCACCCAAAGGGCTCAGTTCACAGCTGGCTGGAAGCATTGGCAAAGTTAGTAGGAGGGCAGGGGGAGCAGGGCAGGGCATGGCAGCCTGTAGGTGTATGTATGGTGCCTTTTCAAGTGGATTATGCAATTGACAGAAGGGGACGTCCGCCCCCAATTTTCACATGGGGCTGGAGAGTACACTTGCCTGGCAGCAACAGTGTCTGTCCCTGGGGCTGGGCTTGGCTCCGGCTCCCTGCTCCTGGTATTGTGATGTGGTGCACAGGGTCAGGTGGTGCCCCACCATCAGCCCCGAGGGCCGGTAGGGCCAAACCTGCATGGCGCTTCAACCCGGCGTGCCAGGCTGCAACACAGGGAGCTGGGCCTCGCCCCATGGGCAGGAGCTGCTGCAGCTGGGTGGGAGTGGGGTGGGCTTGCTCTCCAGCCCCCCTCCCCATCAGTGACCTATTTCACCCTCCAGTTACAAATCCTGGCTTGGCCACAGCTCAAGAGGTGGCCCCACTGGCCACCAGCTGAATCCCACCCCCCGTGTTCAAGAGGGTAGCAGAGGAAGCTGAGTAACTGGCCCCAGAATCCAGGGGTGCTGGGTAGGCAGAGTCCCTGGGGCAGTGCGGGACTGTCTCCGCTGTGAAGGGGTGGTGAGCAGATGGTCCTAGAGGGTGAGAATGGAAGTGCCAGCTCTGGTGGGAATGGGGCAGGACAGAGACGGCAGCGTTTAGTCTGCCGTTGCTCTACGAGGGCCTCATGTCACCTGGGGTTGTTGGGAGACTGGTGGCATGGGTCCACCCTGACACAGTGGCATCAGCTAATATAGCCTGATTCCCCTGCGGGAGAGAGGGCGGTGCCCTGCCCAGGCCTATCAGCTGGTGCTAATGGCTTGAACGGTCCCCTGCCCCCAGCTCTGATCTGAGCTGTGGGAGAAGAGGAACATGGATCTGGGGCAGAACTCAGCCACCTGCCTGGCTATAGAATAATGGACTGGGATTGAAACCAGAACATTTCCCAGCATGTCTTGCAGCTCATGCCTGGCTTTGGGGGGAGGCGTGGGGGGGTGGAGGAGAAGTGTGACTGAAGGGTTACCTGAAATTCCCAGGTCCTGGCTTGATGGCAAGCACCCCCTGCTGGCGAGCCTGTGTATTAACTGAGCTCCCTCTCTCCTTCTCCAGCCTGGCCACCTCTGTTCAAGGCCCATTCTGTGCTGAGGAAATGCCTAACCCAGACCACGGACTGGTCTCCCTGCTCCAAGACCTGTGGCCTAGGTGCCTCCACCCGGGTCACCAACAACAACCCTCAGTGCAAGCTGGCCAAGGAGACGCAGCTGTGTCAGATCCGACCCTGTGACCAGCCTGACTTCACCAAGCTGAAGGTGGGGCTGGGATCCCTGCCTGTGGGGGGGGATAGGCTGCAAGGTCCTTGACCTTGCCAAGGGAGGTGGGGACAGCCCCTGGAAGTTGTGTTGGAACAAGGAGCCTGCTACCCTAGCAAAGGACTCTGGGGCGGGGGGGGGAGGGTCTAGTGGCTAGAGCAGGAGGGGCTGGGAATCAGACCCCCAAGAGTCCTATCTCCAGCTCTGGGGGAGTGGTGTCTAGTGGTTAGAGCAGAGGTGGTTGGGTGGGGGGAGAGGACTCTTGGGTTCTCCCTGGTGCTGCCACTGACTTGCTGTGACCTTGGGAAAGTCCCTTCCCCTTTGTGCCTCCATTTCTCCATCTGTCAAATGGAGATCAAGAGGCTTGCTGAGGCCCATCTCCACATGACGGCTGCATCCAGGGCCCAATACATCAGTGAGGGGCGGGGGGGGGCTGGGGAAGAACTAAGGGGCTGATGCAGGGTCACGCTGGGCTGGTTCCTGCCATGCTGCAGCTTGGAAGCTGGTTGGGGGCCATGAGAGTCTAGATCCTCTGCTGCTATAAATGGCTCCATTGAAGTCCAGACTTCCCTGCTAGGGATCTGGAGCCTTAGCCCAGCCGTTGAGTGGTGGGTTGGATCTCTGCCAGTGCTGGGAGTGTCTATCCTGCCCTCCTCCCCCAGCCAAACTGAGCTGAGCCCCCAACGCATCCATTCCCAGGATTCCCTCCTCATGTCCCATCCCCCCGACACAGCTGAGGCCTGGCACACTCATTCCACTCTGGATGCAGCCACCTGAGTCCCCCCCATCCCCCTCTCTTGGCTGAGACCTGGCAAATTCATGCCATGCTGCAGCTGTAGATATCAGGCCCTTGTAGCTGTCTGACACACAGGCAGCTCCAACCCCCACCACATTCCCCCCTCCCCTTCCAGCTGCATCTAACTGGAGTGTTCCCCCCCTTCCCCCCTTCCCCCCCCGCAGAAGGGCAGGAAGTGTCTCCGGACCCACAAGGCTCAGGAGCCGGTGCATTATATCTACGCCGGCTGCAAGAGCCTCCGCAAGTACCAGCCCAGCTACTGCGGCTCATGCCTGGACGGGCGCTGCTGCGTGCCCCTACGCACCCGCACCCTGGCTGTGCCCTTCCGCTGCCCTGACGGGGACTCCTTCACGCGCAGTGTCATGGTGATCCACTCGTGCCAGTGCGGGCCAGCCCACTGCCAGCCCCTCAATGAGGCTGCCATGCACCCCCAGCACCGGCTAGACGGAGACACGCACAAGTTCCTGGAGTGAGCGGTGCCGGCACCCCAGAGTGGGCAGGGGTCCTGGTGATGGTGTGGGGGGAGGGATACCCCCCACACTCAAATGACACTTCAGGGATTTGGATCTCAGCCATGGGGGGGGGGGTCTCTAAGCTGATGGGTAGGGGGTAGGCGTGTGGAGCTATTGCCCCACATGGCAGCCCCTTTCTAGCCTATATTTCCACCCGTGTCCCCTCCTCCCCACCTAGGGTGACCAGATGTCCCGATTTTATAGGGACAGTCCCGATTTTTGGATCTTTTTCTTATACAGGTTCCTATTACTCCCCACCCCCGTCCCGATTTTTCACACTTGCTGTCAGGTCACCCTATCCCCACCACTTCCTGTCCCATGGTGCCTCTTTCCACCTGTGCCCCTTCGTGTCCCCCATTTCCATTTCCTACCCCATAGAACCCCACTGCACCCCCACTTCCTCCTGGGAGTGGGAGAATCTCACCACATCTACCACCATCCCCAACCTTGCTACCCGCTCCCCCTCCAAACTGGCATGCTGTCTGCCTCTGCCTTGTGTGCACTCACTGCCCCCTGGTGGTGAGCCCCCCAATGGACACCCTCTCCGTCCCTGGCGGAAAACAGTAGGTATCATTTGAACCACATGGCGGCTATAGACAGCTGCCCCCACCCTCTAACAATCCAAAGGGCTCTTCTCTTTTCTTCCCCCCCCTCCCCCGCAGCCTCATTAAAGCACTTTTTCAGGAGCCACAGGGCTTGTGGTCCCATGGGAAGGATGCATTGGATTCATGCCTGCTCTATCGCCCCCTGCTGGGTGGTTTTATACCCACAGGTACAGCAATGTTGCATTGGGGGGGGGGGGAGCAATTGTTTAGGGGAAAATGTTTTTTTGTTTTGTTTGTTTTTTTTCTTACACTCACACTCAGCTTCAAACTTAGCTTGGAGCGATGGCTCTTGGCTTCATAATGAAGCCCATATCATCTGTCGTCCCATCCCCCCTTCTTGCTGTCTTCCCTGCCTTGTTAATTAACTGCTTGATTTTTCTTTCTCTTCCCTGCACTGTTTATAGTGACTGTCACCATGATTGCAAGTCCCTTCTCTCTCTTGCTGGTGGGTATAATTGCTTTGTGAGGGGAGGGTCATCCCCAGACATCCTGCAAACTCGTATCTCCATCCGAATGTCCTCTGCCCCCCCCCCAAAAAAAATTGGAAGGGAGTTTAGAAGCTGGTCTTCTGCTCCACTCCCTGGCTAGATAGCTAGGTGCAAATGTCACAGCTGGATCCACCAAAGCTTGTAAAGCTTATGGGGCTCTTCTGAACTGCCCCACCAGACCAGCTGTCTCTTCCCTGCTCCAGAAAGGCCAGTTCTCATCTTAGTTTGGCTTAGAACAGGAATGGCATATGAGACGAGGGCAGCTTTTTGTTTCTCTCCTAAATACTCCCATCCTGCCCCCATCTCCCACTCCAGAGAAGTTTATCCAGAATTCTCCCTTCAGTGCATCTAACTAAGCTTGGCAGCATTCGATTTTAATTCCAGTTGATAATGGTGGTTTGGTTTTTTAAGTGTTGTTGTTGTTGGTTGTTGTTTTTTAAACTTTTAGTTGTGGGAAATTATGTGGGGGCAGACAATGGGGGTGTGTGTCAGCCACCAATTAATTACAGTAGTAGATGTTGAGATTCAAAAAGTTAAAGCTTGTTCACTGTTAAAACACAAATGGCCAATGCCCCATGTTAAATTATACACAGAAAACTGCCTTAAATCAAACTCAGAAGAGTCCTCAAGCAGCATTTTTCAGCCATGGCCGATCATCACTGATAACTGACGTACTGAAGCTACGTGTAACCCACCCTGAGCAGCCTTGTCGCCCTCTCGTACCTAAACCATGTATAGAGGCTCACAAATGCTACAGAGTAGATACTCCTGCTTCTAGATTCTCTGGTTCCATCCCCGCTGGGGCATCTCAGTAGAGGCAGCCCCCGCCTTGTCTTGAGAGGTTAAACAGCTACTAAAGAGTTAATTGAGCTTGGTAGCCCTGAGGGGTTAGTGTCTCTGTTCTATGTCCAGGTCAGTTGCTACCTCCCAGCACAGCTATTTCTCTGTGTCTAAAGTGTACAGTGCTCTGTTTATAAAATATTCTATATGTATTTATCACAATAAAAGCAGCTTATTTTTTTTTATTTTTGGATATAAATGACAGTCTACGTTTTTGGAAGTTTGGGTTTTTTTTATTTTTTAAATTTACACAATAAAACAGAAGTTTATTTTATAGAAAACAGCGGTGGCTAGTTTGGGGGTTTGCTTGGTTTTTTTTTTCTCTCTCCAAATGAGTGTTGGCACCCGGGGCAGAAAGAGGAGCAGGCGCTTCTGGCCCACAGCTTGGCCAAAGGATCAGGACTGTTAGGCTTGGTCTAAGCACAAAGCTGGACTGATTGATCACATTCATACGAGCAACACTTTATCCCTACTCCTATACCAGTACTATCCCCCCAGAGCACTGCTAGTGTGCATATAACTGGCAGTGGGGTCTAGTGGGTGGAGTATTGGGTGCTGGTCCCAGCTCAGCCATTGTCCTGGTGGGTGAGCTTGGGCAAGTCACGTCCCTGCTGTGTGCCTCAGTTTCCCCCTCAGTACAATGGGGCTGATGATACCGAACTCCTTTGTAAAGTGCTTCAAGAGCTACTGCTGGACAGTGCGAGGTATGTTAGGGATTGCTATACTGGCAAAGGGCTCCCAGCATGGCTGCAGCAGCACCATGCACTGTGCTGCTACAGTAAAGCCACCCCCCTCCTCCTTGACCAGAGCAAGCTATCTTGGTCATAGCAGCTCTGTGGGCAAAGTGGGTCTATGCTAGGAGCTTCTACCAGCAACACTCTGTCCTTGCCACACCCCGAGTGATGCTAGCAGAAGGCCGTAGCGTAGACCTGGTTTAACTCTTTGGATTGTAGTTATGCCTAGGAGCCCTGCTGTGGACCAGGGCGCTCGGCGCTGTATGTTATTAGCTGTATTACAGCAGTGCCTAGGAGCTCTGCTGTGGACCAGCTTCTTCCCCCTCCCTCCCCCCTGTGGGCTAGGTGTTGTACAAAAACGGACCAGAATTACACCTCTTGCCCCACGGAGGTGACAGTCCCCATAGAGTTTCTTCTGTTCCCAGTGCAGGTGCTCCCTGGGCGATGTAGCTTTCACACTGAAATAGGAGCATGCGGGGGCGGGGGTGAGGGGAGGGGAAGATTATACAAGTTAAATCTAACTGGTGTGACTCTGCCTGGATACTCTTTTTATATGGGTTTAAATCTAGCACAGGCCTGATCTGAACAGGGGCGTTGTATATCTTTGGGGGTGGGGGTTATACTGAGGGAGCTCATTCAGTTATAATCATTCCTAGCCCTTTCCAGGGGTAGAGCTCAAAGTGCTTTACAAAGGAGCTCTGTGCTATCCCCATTGTACTGATGGAGAAACTGAGGCACGGAGTGGGGGAAGTGACTTTTCTGAAGTCACCCAACAGGCTGGGCAGAGCAGGCCAGCACTGTACCCACTAGGCCACTCTGAGTAAGGATGCAGTTGGAGCAGAATAAAGGTGCATTCAGAGATTCCAAGGTCAGATGGGACCACAGTGGTCATATGGTCTGACCTGCTTAGCACAGGCTGTAGGATGGCCCTGAATTAATGCCCGTGGAAGTGCTATAGCTGTGGTCAGGCTCCAGCACGTCTCTCCTCAAAAACATTTAATCTTGATTTAAAGATTTCCAGGGAGGGAAAACCTGCTCGAGCCCTGGGTGAGCTGTTCCAATGGTGAATGACCCTCGCTGATAACAAAAACGGTGCCTTATTTTTGGTGTGAATTTTGTCTAGCTTTAACTTCCAGCCGTTGGATCTTGTTAGATGTTTGCCTGCTGCACTGGAGAGCCCATTAGCAAATTTCTCTTCCCTCTGTAGGTACCAAGAAATGGCAATCAAGTCACCCCGTTATCTGTCTCCTTGTTAAATTAAACCGATTGAGCTCCTGGAGTCTATCACTAGAAGGCAGGTTTGCTAATCCTTTAGTGCAAAGGTGTGGGATGCACCCCCCTGAGGGAGTGTGGTGGGGCAGGCCCTGGTTAGCCCCCACAGGGGTGGGGGGGGGAGCACCACCCAGCCCTGCCATCCCCGTGCATGGCTCTGCACCAGCCAAGGGCCCAGCTGCCGGCCCCACTATGGCCTGGCTGTGACTCTACTCCTGCCCCCAGCCTCAGCCCCTGGCCATGGCTCCTTTTCCTGCCTAGGGCCAAGAGTGGAGCTGCACCTGGCTGCTGCTCCTTTCCCATCCCCTTCCCCCATCCAGGGTCCCCAGCCGCGGCCCCACTCCCAACCCAGGCCTGGGGCGGGGGGCATGGACGGGTAAGGAGGGGTGTGACCCTCAAAAGTTTGGAGCCCACTGCTTTAGTCGTTCTCCTGGGTCGTCTCTGAACCCTCCTCCCTTAATCCACAACCAGCCATCTCAAATGGGGGCCACCAGAACTGGCCATGTTATTCCAGCAGCGGTCACACCAGTGCCAAACACAGGAATTGAATGTCCTTGCTATGGATCAATACTTCCTGTTTACACAGCCAAGGGATTGCACTAGCCCAAAGAACGCGCTAAGCTATACTGGTGCATTGGGTTGCCAACTTTGGTTGGACAAATTCCTGGAGGTTTTATTATATGATATAATTTTTCCTGAAGACTCCAGAACAATCCTGGAGGGTTGGCAACCCCACGGGTACAGCTGGGCCCATACTGGGGGAAGTTGTATCCCAGTGCTATGGAGGTAGCTAGCTCGCTGGCAAAGTGCTTGTACCCTGTCAGTGAGCAAAACAGGCGGCACAGCTACACTGGCATAGCTGTGTCTACACTAGGGCATTTGCTGGTCTAGAAACACCCCCCCCCTCCCCAAACCCCGCCCCCCACCAACCGACGATGCTATATGGGCATACGTTCCTACAATAGACCTGGCTTAGGGCAGGGCCCCCATGCTCTTTGCTAAGCAGCTCCTGCAGTAGGAACGCTCCCCCACAGAGGGGACGCTTCGGCAGTGAGAGATGAGGAACATATCATTCCTCCCCGCCACACACCCACCCAGCTGGAGAATGGAGCCAGCAGGACAGATGCTTGATGCACGGCTGGGGGACGCCCCAATGCCATGGTGATGGGCCTGGTATAAGGACCTGTCAAGACTAGAGTCCTTCTCGGGTTGGGCCTGAGCTAGGGTAGTTGGGGGTGGGATTAGACCCCTCCCCCCACGAGGGAATAGCTCCCACTAGCACTATTTTAGCCCTGTAACGCCCCCTCCCAGTGTGGTCTGCTGGCCCTCTCTAGTGGTGGTGGTGCTGTGCCTGATGCAGCCCTGGCCAGCAAACCTGGCTCTTAGCCCAGGCCCCAGAGGCTCATGTATTAAGAGCCAGAGATCCTAGGTTCAGCTCCTGAGGGAGGCCATGGCCCAGCTTAGGCCCGGGGGGAAGGTGCCCCATGGCTTGGCCTAGGTCATTCCCAAGGGGTGGTATTCTGTTAGGAGGGAGGGATCCCACAGCCCAGCCTTTGCTTGTGAAGGTGAGAGGACCTTTTTGTACTACAACTCCCCTGCTTTGCTCCTGCAACGATGACACACACACCCCAAGTGAACCCACAAACCTCGGCGCCGAAGCCCAGGCCCAGCCCAAGGAGCCAAAGGAGGAGCTCCACTAGCTGGCAATAGCAGTAGGCGCTTACCCACTTGTGCAGACCAACCACTGAGGCAGGAGTCACAACCCTCATGGACCCACTGATGGATTGACAGCTCTGGGGCTGCCGCAGCAGCTGCCTGCTAGGGGAGAAGCCGGTCATTTCATCAGAACATTTGGATGGGGATGAGCTGTTGTTTGCTTGAGTAGTGCCCTGTGTTAGAGATGCTCATTGTGTGGGGCTGGCGTTCCCAACGGGCTCAGCAAGCAGCAGCTCCCTGAGACTCCAGGGCATTTCCTCCACCCCGTGGACGGAGAACAACTGTGCCAGGACCTGGAGATGGAGTGTGTGTGTGACACTGCAAAACAATCTGGGAGCAGCCGAGTAGCGAAGTAGCCTTCCCCCACCACTAACTCCAATGTCAGCAGCATTGTCAGCACCACGGAACTCCAGCTAGAGCCGTGACGTGTACTCAGGGGGCCACAGTCACATTACACTCTGACCTACCAGTGCAGTGAGGGCCAGCGCCCACAACAGGCATGTTGCAGTATGTGGATTTGCACATGCATGTGCTGCATGTCCGTGTGTGTGCACGTGTGGCTCACTGAGCAGTCCTGCAGCGTGTTGTGAGCACACGTGTCTGTGTTGCAGGATCTGACAGCAGGTGGCGCTGTCGCTTTACAAACCTAACCACGCGAGGGGCCCAGTGATTCTGAATTCCAACCCTTCCCCTCCCCACACACTCTCCCACTGAACCCCAGGGAGGCAAATCTGGACTGTTCTGCCTTGAGACATCTGTGGGGAGAGAGGGGGTGTGGCAGGGAGGGCTGCCTATATTACCAGCCCTGCTGCGCTGTGTGTCCCCAAGTCCACATTCAGCTCTGCTGGTGCCGCTCAGTCCCAGCCTGCAACCCCCTGCTGGCCCAGCCCTGGGCCCCTCTGGCACACAGCTCTGCCCATCCCTCAGCTCCTTGTGCGGTACCCCTGTCAGATCTGGAGAAGCAGAGGCAGCTGATTGAAGGAGTAGCCTCCAGAACAAAGTGCGCAGCAGAGAAGGTGCCCCCTGGGGTACATCCCACAATACCTCTGCCTGTGGTCTCCGATGTCTGGGGTGAGGCTCGAACCTGTGACCTATAATCAGCCCCCTACTGCTCGAAATGGAGGGGCCTCTCCT